GATGGAGAAGCGGAGAGGCTGGGCTGTGCGAGGAGCCGTCTACCTTCACCAGACCCTGAACTCAGAAACTGCCCGGCCAGGCCTGCCCCTGCCCTGCTGCTCTCCCCAGCCTTCAGGAGGCAGCACTCACCCGCACGTTAGGACACCTCCATTTTTAATCCTGGCTGTGTCACAAACATGCTGGGTGATTTGGGGCAAATTCTTCACCTCTCTAAAATGAGGAGGACTTGCTTAGTGGTTGTTAAGCCTAATAGTGGAATTCCCTGCCAAGAACAAAGAAGCCCATTTTTAAATAAATTTTGTGGCACTTTATGAGTTTCCTAGGGTTGCTGCAACAGATTTAACCCCGGACGTGGTGGCTTAAAATGCCAGAAGTCTAGGCTTGCACAGTTCTGGAGGCCAGAAGTCTAAAATAAAGATATTGACAGGGCCATGCTCCCTCTGAAAACTCTAGGAGAGAATCCTTTCTTACGTCTTCTTAGTGTTTGGTGGCTCCTGGTAATTCTGAGTGGTCTTTGGTTTATAGCTACATCATTTGAGTCTCTTGTCTTTGTCTTCACGTGGCCACCTTTTCTGTTCCTCTGTGTCCTTTTCTGCCTCTTATAGGGACACTTTCATTAGATTTAGGGCCCACCCTAATCCATTATAATCTCATCTCAAGATCCTTAACTAATTATATGCATAAAGACCCTATTTCCAAATAATATCACGTTCTGAGGTTCTGGGTAGACATGAATTTGGGGGGGACATTATTCGACCCACTATAGTACCCCTAAATATAAGAAATTAAAGGTGCTTGGTTTTGTTTGGAGGTAAATGGAGGCCCGAGACCCTGGCCTCATGTCCTTGTGGCCTACCACCAGCCTTGGCAGCCCCCAAGGATCAGGTCTGCAAACCACTAGGTACTCCAGGTTTCAGGAAGCCCTAGTTCACCATATCCCATGGTGATGAGACTTTGGACTTATAATTTTGAATTGATACTGGAATGAGTTAAGAAAGACTTTAGGGGCTATTGGGACTCATGGCCTGGTTCTTTGGTTAAGAGCCTCTTCTTGGTTTTTCTCAAACGTGGCTGTATCCCAGAATCACCTGGGAGCTTGGTAAAAAAGCAGATACCAATGAGACTTTGGATTCTGGTCAAAATGGAGTGGACATATGTATCCCTAAAGAAACCACCCCAGAAATGTCAGTGAGCATAGACCAGAAAAGGCCCCAGGGAAAGCACGCTCTCTCTCATCAAAGGACTGGAAGAAGAGCAGTCTTGCAAAACCTTTTTGACCATAACACCCTATTCTTGTAAAACACCAGGGAAAACTGCTTCTCCCTTCCCTTCCAGTTTTAGTGAAGGCTCAATGGACAGCTTAGACATCCATCCTCACTTTGTGGTAACCTACCAGATACCTCCCACCTTCAGCACCGCACCCCCATCCCCCCACCATGGGGCTGGATGAGAAGCCTGGACTTTTACCACCACCCAGAGGTAAAAAGATGTCCCCCCCCCGCCCCCGCTACCATGGTCCCCTTGAGGTGTCAGTGGAGCCTAGACTTCAACCCCCACCCAGTGATGATGAGGCACCCCTATTGAGGCCAACTGAGGAGCCTAGATTTCACCCCTACTCAGCGGTTGTGCCGCATCTCTCACTCTCCCTGCCAGAGTGCTGTTGGTGGAGGCCGAGCAAGGAAGCGTGGATTTCCTCCCACCCAACGATAAAGAGTCGGTGCTCTCCCATCCCCCACCAGCATGGTTCTTGCAAAAACTTGCTAAAATGGAAGACTTAATATAAGCTCCAGGATAAGTCTCAGCAAAGAAAGAGAAGATATAAAGAACTAAATGGAGATTTGAGAACTGAAGAATGTAGTAACCAAAATAAAAAATCACTGGTGGGCCCAGTAGAAGAATGGAGATGACAGAAGAAAGAATCAGTGAACATGGAAACAGACAGTAGAAATTATCCAATTTGAACAGCAGAGAGGAGGTAGACTGGGAAAACAAATTGAACAGAGGCTCAGACACCTATAGGACAATACTTTTTTAAAATTTAGCATTTGTGGATCTGGAGGCTGAAAAAGTATTTAGAGAAACAATGGCTGAAAATTTCCCAAGTTTGGTGAGAGGTATAAACCTACAGATTCAAGAGTGAATGAAACCCTCACAGGGTAAATGCAGAGAAACCCACACCAGGACACCTGATAACCAGGCTTCTGAAAAGTAGACAAAGGAACACTCTTCAGAGCCACACGAGAGGGAAGTGCTACGGCCAAGGGAATGGCGCTTCACATACAGCAGATTCCTCATCAGAAACATGGCGGCGAGAAGGAGGCTGCCCTGCCTAAGCATTCGTGTGCCGAGAGAGAGAGAGCACTGTCACCCCAAAGATCTGTCCCGGTGAAAATATCCTGTAGGAAGGAAGGTGAAATCAAGACACTTTCTTTGCCTGAAGGAAAACCAGGAGAATTTGTTCTCAGCACACTTCCCTAAAATGATGAATGACCAAAGGAAGTTCTCCGGAGAAATAACAGAAGAAAACCTAGAACATCAGGGATGAAGAAAGAACAGGAAGAGTAAAAATATGGGTAAATATAATAGACTCTCCTTTCCCTCTTGAGGAAATTACACTTGACAGTTGAAACAAAAATTATAATGCTGTCTGACGTGGATTTTAATGCATGTAGAGGAAATATTGAAGAGAATTATAAGGGAGGAGGGTAAAAGAACCCAGATGGAGATAAGGTCTCTGTACTTACTCCAGAGTATACTGTACTAAGTTGCATATACATTGTATGGTGCCTAAAGCAACCACTAGAAAATCTGCACCAAGAAATACACTCAAAAACACTATAGAGAAATGAAAATGGAATTCAGATAATCTGCAAGAAGACAGGAAAATGAAACAGAGGAACAAAAGATGCAGATGCCTGAGCCATACTCCAGACCTGCTACTGAATCAGAACCTCCAGGATTAGTGCCTGTGAATATACGGTTTTAGCAAGTGCCTCTGGGGATTTCAAGAACCAGGCAGGTTTGAGAATTTGTGGTCTAGACCAGTTTTTATTTTTATTTATTTATTTATTTATTAGAGAGAGCTAGTGAGCACGTGTCGGGGGGGGGCTGGGAGGGGCAGAGGGAGAGAGAGAATTTTTTTTTTTAATTTTATTTATTTTTTATTTTTTTTAAAGATTTTATTTATTTATTAGAGAGAATGAGAGAGAGCACATGAGAGGGGGGAGGGTCAGAGGGAGAAGCAGACTCCCTGCCGAGCAGGGAGCCCGATGCGGGACTCGATCCAGGGACTCCAGGATCATGACCTGAGCCGAAGGCAGTCGCTTAACCAACTGAGCCACCCAGGCGCCCGAGAGGGAGAATCTTAAGCAGGCTCCATGCTCAGCTTGGAGCCCGATGCGGGGCTTGATGTCACAACCCGTCATGACCTGAGTTGAAATCAAGAGTCAGATGCTTAACTGACTAAGCCACCCAGGTGCCCCTAGACCTTTTTTTTTTAAACAGCAAATTGCCAACCCTGTTAGGTTGTAAAATCAATTAAGATGAGCATGCCCCCCCCCCCTTTTTAGAACAAACTTAAAAATATTGGACTAGAAAAAGAAACACTGGAGTACATTATAGCTGGTCAGGGTAATTCTTCGTGAAATTTTTTTGGGGAAATATAACGTGTGTATGTATGAATGTGTGCATGCTCAACCCTTAGATGAGGGTAGCTGGAAGAGATGGTACCCCCAGGAATGGCCTTCAGCTAGTGCTGGAGAGGATTCGGGAGGCAAATAGCCCGGCTTTTTTCAAAATAGTGACCTGCTCGTTAATGTGCCCTGTATTGGCTTCACTCCTCCTTCCTCTTAATCCCCCACTCTCCTACAGGGATTTCTTTGGATAATTTCTCAAACTATTTTGGCTCAAACCCTTGTCTGTGATTCTGCTTCTGAGGGAATCTAGCCTAAGCCACTGTCTCTTTCTGGGCAGGATTGCACTTTGATTTTTATGATTGCAGGGAGAGAGAAGTTACAAGACCCCAAGAGTCCAGAGCTAGCCCCGAGGGAATAAAGGAGCGGCTCCAATCCCTCCCCAGTGCAGTGCTGGCCGGGCACCAGGGGTTACTGGCCGCTTCTATGAGGGCGAAGGGTGAGATCCTTCACATCTGAGCAGTCCTGGGCTTCAGAGCAAGGATGTTACCCTTCCTGCTAGTGCAGGAAAGTGGAGCAAACACCCACAGCCCAGCCAGGTGACATGTCAGTGGTGACATCCAGATACAGTTCTTTTACTGGACCAGGGAGGGGGCGAATATCTACCCATCCTTTCATGGGAATCTCAAAAGCCAGCAGGCGTGATTTCCAAACAGGAGCTTTAAGCAAGAGCAGACGACCCCCCCCCCCAATACCCTCCAGGCATATGTGCCATGTGTCCAAAGAAGGGGACGCTGGGGTCCTGGTGTACGGCCTGGTCTCTGTGCCCGCATAAGGAAGAGTCCTTGCCTCGCAGTCCTAGGAATGCCAGGCCCCTGGGGGGATTTGCCCTGTGGCCTCTCATCACACATCCTCCGTGGGTTAGCTTTTGCTGTAGCAGTGCTCCATACCAAACAGCCGCAGGGTTTCAGTGACCTTCGGTAATGAGCACTCACCCAGCCCAGATGTCCGTGTCGGGGTCGCTCACAAGTCGGGGGGTCAGCTGGGCTAGACTGGGCTTAGCAGGAGCAGCTGCGCTGCACAACCTCTCGCGCGTCCTGGGCCCGGGAGGTTAGGCTGCACACAGCCTCCTCCTGGCACTGTCCTAGGTACGGAGAAGGCAAGGCCAGTCGCACAAGACACAAGCTCTTTCCAAGCCTCTGATCATGTTTTCCCTGCTAACACTTCCCTGGCCGAAGCGAGTGATGTGGCCACGCCCACAGTCTAGGTGCAGGGGTGTATGCCACCCCGCTGGGAGCAGTGGGGAAGGGAGGGCGCCAACGCGCGCAGACGGAGCCAACGCCTTTCCCTTTCCTTCTCTCCCGCAGGCTCGTGCCGGCGCGCGGGGTGCCCGCCGGGATGGGTAGGGCCCGCCGGGCCTGTGGCACTGCCCAGGGGCTGTGCTCTCACTAGGGCCCCCCGACGGCGTCAGGATGCACCTGTCGGCGGTGGTCAACGCGCTCCTGGTGTCGGTGCTGGCGGCCGTCCTGTGGAAGCACGTGCGGCTGCGCGAGCATGCGGCGGCCCTGGAGGCTGAGGTGGCGGGCGGCCGCCAGGCCCCGGAGCCCGCCCCCGCGCCGCGGATCGACTACCCGAAGGCCCTGCAGATCCTGATGGAGGGGGGCACGCACATGGTGTGCACGGGCCGCACGCACACCGACCGCGTCTGCCGCTTTAAGTGGCTCTGCTACTCCAACGAGGCCGAGGAGTTCATCTTCTTCCACGGCAACGCCTCGGTCATGCTGCCCAACCTGGGCTCCCGGCGCTTCCAGCCGGCCCTGCTCGACCTGTCCACCGTGGAGGACCACAACACCCAGTACTTCAACTTCGTGGAGCTGCCGGCCGCCGCCCTGCGCTTCATGCCCAAGCCCGTGTTCGTGCCCGACGTGGCGCTCCTCGCCAACCGCTTCAACCCCGACAACCTGATGCACGTCTTCCACGACGACCTGCTGCCTCTCTTCTACACCCTGCGGCAGTTCCCGGGGCTGGCGCACGAGGCCCGGCTCTTCTTCATGGAGGGCTGGAGCGAGGGCGCCCACTTTGACCTGTACAAGCTGCTCAGCCCCAAGCAGCCGCTCCTGCGGGCGCAGCTGAAGACGCTGGGCCGCCTGCTGTGCTTCTCCCATGCTTTCGTGGGCCTCTCCAAGATCACCACCTGGTACCAGTACGGCTTCGTCCAGCCCCAGGGCCCCAAGGCTAACATCCTCGTCTCGGGCAATGAGATCCGGCAGTTTGCCCGGTTCATGATGGAAAAGCTGAACGTGAGCCACGCGGGGGCTCCCCCGGGCGAAGAGTACATTTTGGTCTTCAGCCGCACCCAGAACAGACTCATTCTGAATGAGGCACAGCTGCTGCTGGCGCTGGCCCAGGAGTTCCAGATGAAGACCGTGACCGTGTCCCTGGAGGACCATGCCTTTGCCGATGTCGTGCGGCTGGTCAGCAATGCCTCCATGCTGGTCAGCATGCATGGGGCCCAGCTGGTCACTGCCCTCTTCCTGCCCCGCGGGGCCACCGTGGTCGAGCTCTTCCCGTATGCTGTCAATCCGGACCACTACACCCCCTATAAGACGCTGGCCACGCTGCCTGGCATGGACCTCCAGTACGTAGCCTGGCGCAACATGATGCCGGAGAACACGGTCACGCATCCTGAGCAGCCCTGGGACCAGGGGGGCATCACTCACCTAGACCGGGCTGAGCAGGCCCGTATCCTACAGAGCCGTGAGGTCCCACGGCATCTCTGTTGCCGGAACCCTGAGTGGCTCTTCCGGATCTACCAGGACACCAAGGTGGACATCCCATCCCTCATCCAAACCATACGGCGAGTGGTGAAGGGCCGGCCAGGGCCACGGAAGCAGAAGTGGACCGTCGGCCTCTACCCGGGCAAGGTTCGGGAGGCGCGGTGCCAGGCATCCGTGCAGGGCGCCTCAGAGGCCCGCCTCACTGTCTCCTGGCAGATCCCCTGGAACCTCAAGTACCTGAAGGTGAGGGAGGTGAAGTACGAGGTGTGGCTCCAGGAGCAGGGGGAGAACACCTACGTGCCTTACATCCTGGCCCTGCAGAACCATACCTTCACTGAGAACATCAGGCCTTTTACTACCTACTTGGTGTGGGTCCGCTGCATCTTCAACAAGATCCTCCTGGGACCCTTTGCAGATGTGCTGGTGTGCAACACGTAGCGAGCGTGCCGTGGCCAGGCCTCGGGGGGGTGGAGGTGGGGTGGCTCCTCCAGCTCAGCGTCCCTGGGTCCACTAGCACCCTGGGGTGGCTTCTGGGAATTATTTATTTATTGAGCAGGCCACCCCACCCAGGCCTGTGCCTCTGTGTCTTACTGCATCTGGAGTGTGGAGTTCCCAGCATTCTTTGCACTGGTACGATGAGACCCTCCTAGCCCCCTTCTCCCGTCCTGAGCATCCATACCCTGGAGAAGGTCCTTGGTGGGAGGAGGAAGTGGAGGAGAAAGAAGGAAAGTAAGAATCCTAAGGAGCCTCTGGCTGAGTGATCATGCTGTTCCCTACTGAATCTTTCTGGTTGATATCCAGATGTCTGGAAACTGTGAGTATATCATGTGGTCGCTTGGGTGGGTGCTTCATCAGCTTCCATCATCATGAAATTCACCTGTAGCACAGTGAAGGTGTGTTTGGAAAATTCATTAAATGATTGTAAACATCTTGGTCAAGTTTTTTTTTTTTTTAAGATTTTATTTATTTATTTGACAGAGAGACAGTGAGGGAGAACACAAGCAGAGGGGAGAGGGAGAAGCAGGCTCCCCGCACAGCAGGGAGCCCAAAGTGGGGCTGCCTGACATGGGGCTCGATCCCAGGACCCCGGGATCATGACCTGAGCCTGAGCCAAAGGCAGACCACTTAACTGACTGAGCCACCCAGGCACCCCTTGGTCAAGTCTTTTTATTAGGTAGGTGGAAGTGGGGCTGGTAGTCAGTACCCACATGATCTTTCATCCCAGCTGTCAGCCAAGGAGATGTGGTGATGGGCAAGCGGCGAGGACCACGAAGTGAGGCAGGCTGGTTGGATTGCATCTTGCAACTTGCCGGTTGAATGTCACATTGCCACCTAAGCGGGGTCCAAGTCTGGAAGCAGAGGGACGGGGCTGCGGTGAGGAAGAGCAGTGTCCACCAGGGGGCGCTCTTAGGCTAAAGACATCAGGCACCCAAGACCACAACAGACCACACTTAGCAACGGGATCCCTTAGAAGGACATAGGGGTAGGGCATTCAGCAGGACAGTGTTGAGCACTTTCTTCTGCAGGAGTCTTCACACCATCCCAGGGCCCATTCTCGCCCTGTTCTGGGAGTCGCTGCTCGAGGGTGACGAGGTAAGACCCCTGTCCGTAGTTGGGGCCACCGGCTTAGAAGCCCCATAGGAACCCTTGTCTTTCAGTGGGGCCCAGGGCCCCTCCAGGACATTGCACTGAGCGGAGCCTGCAGCTCTGGTGCCCGACCAGACATTTAGTTCACGCGTAGCCCTTCCACAGCTTCTCCGAGGTCAGCTGTCCTGTCAGTTTTGCTGAATGGCACACCTGACATTCCACCGTTGTCTGGCTTCCATGGAAACAGAGCTAGAACGTTAACCCAAGATCAGATTTGCCCTTGGAGAAGGGACCCTGCTCCAAGTCTGACTCCTGGGAAGGAGAGCAGGAAAGGGGGTCCAGGAGGGAGAGCCTCAGGCTGTAGCTCCAAGTGGTCTGTTAGATGAGTAGCTGGTCCCTGGCCGAGGGCGGCTGGGGAAGAATGACTTCGGTGCCTGTCGGTGGTGGATTCAGAGCAGGAGATCTGAGTGGCACGTATTCATGATCACCGGGTACCTCCATGACCTTCCTTTTACCCAGAATATCTTTGTCCCTAACTGTATCCTCCATCAGCCACCTTCTCGGACTACCACATTGATGCACACATAAAGATTCAGTTGAGCTGAAAGTCTCAGACTCTGAGGGGTGAGGGTAAAACTACTTGGAAACCACTTGGTGGTTTCTGCTAAGGCTGAACACATAGCTACCCTGTGTCTCAGCAATTCCACTGCTAAATATAGACCCAAGAGAAAGGAGTGCCGATGGTATCAAAAAGACGTATAAAGTACAGCTCTAGATGGCCAGAAACTAAACAACCCAAATTTCCACCAACAGGTGTATTCATGCAAAGGACACAATTTTTTAAAAAGATTTTATTTATTTAGAGAGCATGAATGGAGGGAGGGAGGCAGAGGGGAGGGAGAAAGAATCTCAAGCAGACTCCATGCTGAACACAGAGCCCGACTCAGGGCTCAGTCTCACGACCCTGAGATCACGACCTGAGCCGAAATCAGGAGTCAGATGCTTAACCGGCTGAGCCACCCAGGTGCCCCAGGACACAACAATTTTTTAAGAAAGAATGAAATATGGGTACATACAACAGTGTCAATCTCACAGAGTGTTGAGTATATGCTGAGTGACAGAGTATGTACTGTATGATTCCATTTCCATGAAGTGCTAGAACAAGAAAACCAATCTGTGGCGGGAGAAGTCAGAATGGCTCCTGAGAAGGGTCGAGCCTGGGCTGGACACGAGGGAACTCGGGAGGTTAGGAATGTCTTGATCTGGCTGGTGGTTGCACAGCGACCATTTGAGATCAGTGCACTTTATATACTTCACTCTATACTTCAATTAAACAGAAACAAAAGCTCGGCTCAAGGGGCAACTCTTCTGGAAAACAGTGTGTGTCTCCTCCAGCTCCCTGGTCATTAGGCCCGCCGCATCCCCCAAACCCCAGCTCTGCCACCCTGTCGTGTTCTGGAAGGTACTCTGCTCCCACAAGGGGTCGCCCACCGGCTAGAGGTCCAGGGTGGGTGTTTATGTGTGTGGATCATGATGCCGAGGCACTCCGTGAATGGTTCATGCGTTCCATCAAACAATGGATCTCTGCCTATGTCCAAATTGCTTTTTGCAAATTTGTAATCCTGTGAAACTTTGTCCTGGTTCTTTTTGTTTTTTCCTCTTAACATTATAATAGAAATGCTTTACCGTGTCACTGAAAGTTATTCTTTGAAAACAAGAATCTGGTTGACTGTAGAACATTCCACTGCATGGACTCACAAAGAACTTGATACCCTTTCCCCAGGTTACAGCGTTTGTTAAGGGGCGGGAGGCTGGATCCGCAGGCCCTTTGACAGCACTGCATGTTTCTTCTCTTGCTGCTGCTTTTTGTTGTCATCATGTCTCTTTTATTGATGTTTAGTTCATTTCTCGTGAAGTGCACGATCTTCAGTGTAGATTCTGTGGGTTTCACTCATACATACTTCTTTGTACCCGACATCCCTGCAAGGTGTAGATTATTTCCATCATCGCCGTATTTGCAGTTTTTTAAGCTTTGGAAATTTAGCAGGCAAGAATTGTTTTTTTGTTATTATAGGGGAGTTATAAGAGCTGCTTTTAACATTAAGGGTATTCACATCTGGTGATACTGTTCATTTTAAATTTGCGTCCTAACACAGCGCCATCAAAGAATGGTAGAGCAGGAGAGCCTGGGAGCTGGGAGCTGGGGTGCCCGGGGGGGGGCTCCTCCGACAGAAGCCCATCCCAATAGCAAGTGGCTCCCTCTGCGCCCCATGAGTCAGCTCTGAGGTCACCTCACTGGCCGTAGGTGGGGTGGCAGCAGGCTCGTGCGAGGCCTGGAAATGGAGCACACATGGACCCCCCAGCCCAAAGCAAACCCCTCAGAGCTGTTCCTCAGCCCCCGACTGTGTAGCCTCTGTCCGCCCCGCTCGGCCGCCCCCTGTGGTCAGGCCCTCCAGGTGCCGGGCGCTGTGCAACAGCGTGTACCCCAGAGCTGATGGGGGGCCCCTTCGTCTGGGCCCCCACCCTACCGCACGGGAGGGCAGTGTCAGATCTGCAAATAGTCCCCCTCAGACGTGGGGGAAGGGGGGAGGGAGGAAGTGGCATTCCGCTGTTCCTCTCTACAGGGGTGTGGCCCTATGCTCTCCCAGCCCAGTGTTGAAGACGGTGACAGCCTGGCCAGGTCCCCCTGGTCAGCGCCAGAGGCAGAGCCCAGGGCTGCATCCACATGTGGAAAGGCACTGTGGGGTTTCCCTTCAGGAGTCACGCTGGCTCTGGGAGCCCAGGGCCCTTACAAAAAGGAGTTTCATTTCTCAGAGAAAACCTCACGAAGCCACCCAGCTAATGTAGAATTTGAGACGATTCTGTTCTGTTTGGGGAATAAAAAGCACAAAAGGATGTAGTTGCTTTCTGGGAGCTTGCATCTAGGGAAATAATCCAATACTCTCTTTCGGAATGTTGTACTATCAGACTTCCCAGGTTCAGGTAGGCCAGCCTTTTTCTAGGATTGCTAAGGTTTAGCAAACGAAATACAAAACACTCAAACCTGAATTTCATATAACAAGTATTTGGCAATCTCATGCCATATTTGGCAACACTACCTTTTTCCAACTAATGGAAAATGTGAGGCGAGGAAGGTTTGTTGTATAACCATGAGGTTAATAATCCCCCCATACTCCCATTTTCCAAGTGGAAATGCAGAGGCGCTGGTGGGAGGAATGCCTCACTCCTGCCTCAGCTACAATAAGAAATAGGAACGATACCAAATGTCTAAAAAGATGGAGGGAAACTGGATCTCTCATATGCACTGCTGAGAAGAATGTAAAACAGTAGCCTGGGAATAGTTTGGCAGTTTCTTAAGAAATTAAACATATTACCATGAAATTGCACTCCAGGGCATTTGCCCCAGAAAAAAAGAATATATTCTGTTCACACAAAAACAAGTATAAGAATGTTCAGAGCGGCTTTAATTGTATTAGCCGAAAATGAGAAATGACCCAGATGTCCTTCAGGGGGTGACTTGTAAACAAACTGTGGTCTCTCTGTACCATGGGATGCTAACGAATAAAGAGGAACAGTAATAAAAAAGGAACAGACTATTGGTAAAAACAACAATTTGGCTGGAGCTCAGAGGCATTATGCTGAGTGAAGAAAGCCACTCTCAAAAGTTTACATGCTGTACTATTCCATTTAGATACCGTTCTCAAAATGACAAATATTGTAGAGATGGAGATCAGATGTGCGGCTGCCGGGGATGAGGGTGGGAGAGAGTGAAGGGCTGGGTGTGGCGGGAGTCCGTATCTCGATTGCCGTGGTGGTTAATGAATCCACAGGTGCTAAAATGACGCACACTATGCCAATGTCAAGTCTGTGGTTTTGGAACTGTACCGTAATTACGTAATTACGGAAGATGCAACCACTGGGGGAAACTGGATGAAGGGTACACAGGACCTTCCCAGTACTGTCTTTGCAACTACTGTGAATTCATAATTATGTCAAAATGAAAAGTTAAAAATCCTTGGGAGGATGAGAGGTGTGGGCTCCGGGCTGGGCCCTGAGGAGCAGTTCTGAGAACTGCCCGGCTACGGAGGCTCCTACTGGAGCTAGGGGTCCAGGAGCCAGGAGCTGAGTTAGGGTCCCAGGCTCACGATGCCAGGGTCACTATCCCAGCTCCTGCCACACTGCACAACCATGTCAACCATCACAGAGCTGGTGACCGAAAATAGCTGAGAGGTGCACCACATTCTCCACCTCTCTCCTTCCAACCAACCCCTGAGTGCATCCAAATCGTGGAATCCAATTTGCGTCCTGAGCCTGGCTGGGCCCCGCGAGGGAGTTTGGGTAATGACATGCACAGCTTCCAGGCCTGGGCCCTGCAGGAAGCCTTCCTAGGGTGGGCGGGTGGAGGTCGGACGACCCAGTCCCAATCCCACGTGCACCGAGTCACCCACTAGGACTAGATGTGTCTTTGTGTGGTGACAGAGCTTCCAAGTGTGCAGGGCAGAGAAGGAATGCCTCCAGTCCTTCCCAGCACAAAAGTCAGCGAGGTGCCTGGGGTCCCATTGCCCCATGTGTGAGTGCGTGTGTTTTCAATGAAGGCGGCCGTCATGAGGACAAGGCAGTCAGATGTGCAAGAAGCAATCACTGCAGGATCTGCCTTATGCACTAGCCTCCCCGGTCATGCTCAGTGTCGCTCACCCAGACATGTGCAGGTGAGGCCTTGCTGCTTGGCGTTATGCAGGGTCTGCGGTAGAAATGATCCTCTGGCAAATGATCCTCCGCTGGGAAGACATACACACAAGAAACTTGACAAAAATCCATATTCTCACACCCATCAGCTTTAAGTGACTTACTTCATTTAGCTTGTCTCCTGGGCCTCGCACTGTGAGGTGCCCTTGACCTGTACTTCCCTCCACGACCTGCACTAGGAACCCTCCAGAGCTCACCCCGCCTCTGCCTGCCCTCGGGGTGGGGTGTGCTTCTCCTGGCAGGTGCCCCTCAGAAAACCAGATGCTCCCCCGAAATCACGTAGGAGCTACGTCCTGCAGTGGAACTGTAGACACTAACAGAAGGAGCCTTCCTCAGATCACACCTCGCGTATGCTACCTTCCCCACTGACAGGTAAGCCAGGCTCATCTTGGAGGCCAAGCCCCTCCCAGCCCCCCGCACCCCTGCCATCAAAGCCCACCGCCTCTTCGGCTCAGTTCCCTGGGCTTCCGTGTCTGCGTCTCCTTGCTGGATGCTGCCTCCTCCCCCCGAGGCCTCCCTGGGTGCACCTGCAGTCCGGCATGCCCTAGCCTGTCACCTGCCAAGTCCCCGGATGAACGCACGCCCCCACCTCCCGCCCCATACTATTTTCTGACAGCAACTGAATCCGCCTCTGCTGTGGTGTGGACTGTGTGGAACCCGACTTTCTACCTCGAGATGCCTTCCGCTCTGGTCCACTTCCTTGGAGGCTCAGTGACTCTTCTCTCATCGGTTGGACAAGGCCAGGGTGGCAGAGGTTACCCCACCTCTTGCCCCAAAGGCCTCCAGCCCCTATAATACCCAAATGCCCCACTAGACCCACTCCGCAAACAGGCGTCCCCCAGCCGTGCTAACCAGAACCCCAGGTGGGCCAGGAGTAGGGAGCGTGGGAAGTGTCTTGCCCGAGCTGGTGGGTGAGCCTCAGGGGTTCAGGGGAGGCCCGCCCACTCATCTGAAGGCCCTGGCTGAGGGGAAACGGTCTGGCAACGTTCACAGAGGTCTCACCTCTCACATCTTGTACTGCCCCCCGACACACTCAGGCAGAGCTCCTGTGAGCCCCTCTTGCCCACATTGCTGCCCTCACGCTTCCTGTATCCTCAGCTACGGGGACCTTGCTCACCAACAGAACACCAGGACACATGCTCTGATGGCCAGACGACATGTGTCTCCAAACATCTGGGACACATGGCCACCAAAGCATGCCGCACACATGGATTGCTTCCAAATTCTATATTCTGCGTGGAAAATCTGCATGAGTGAATGAATGAAGGTAAGAAGGAAGGATGCTATAGCGGTGGGGGCAGGGGCTCTGGAGTTAAACGGGCCTGGGTTCAAATCCCAGCTCCAGCAGTTACCTGCTCTGTGACCTTGGGCAAGTGACTCAACCTCTCTGTGCCTCTGTTTCCTGTTCTGTCAAATGGGAGCGGTGACGCCCACCTCCTGGAGTTATTCCGAAGGTTTGCAATGAGGAACACGGTTCCGCTCTTGGCACGGTGTGGGCCATCGGCTGTATTCACTTCATGCCAGGTGGTGCTCCCCAGGTTCAGGGGCAGACTCTGCCGCCCCACCTGTGCGGCCTCGGGCAAGGCGCTCCCTCCCCAGCCGAGGTTCTTCATCTGTAGAGTGAGGATAGTGCAGCCGGGATGGTAAGGCATTCATGAAATCACCTGTATAAAGCCCTTAGCGCCATGCCTGGTTTGTAGTAAGTTATCACAGGTCTGGAATCCCATAACCAAACCCTGGAGGCCAGAAGTCATTCCGAATTCTGAATTCTTCAGATATAGAAAGGTAATAAGGTACCTCTCCATGTGTAACGCTACACTCTCAGCAGGGTCTGGGGTTACACCCAATCCCTGAACGCATTGGCATTTCGGCACTGAACCGTATGAATATTCGAGCTGAGTGGGACATGAGTTTTGGCCCCGAAGGTAGGAAAAGGCGTTTGATTTTCAGAGCTTGGGGATTGTTGCAGTTGCAACACGGTGGGGCCTGGGGTGAGGCGAGTCAGGCAGCATGGTGGCTGGCGACTGTGCTGGCTTTACCAGACCCTGTGGCTGGCCGCTTTCTGAAGGACTGGCATGCAGGCGAGCAGCCCCTGCACCGCAGACCCCTCACAGCTCTTGCCGCATTCCCTCCCCGCCCCCCCCCCCCCCCCCCCCCCCAGCCAAAGCCTCTTCAGGTTGATGGGAAGGTCCTGATTCACCACCCCCAGCTGTTTGCTTCGCTGGGCACATCCTTCTCATTCCAGAGGCAATGGCTGGGGGAGGCAGAGGGCAAGCGGTGCACCCTGTGGCTGAGAGTGTTCTTTGAAAGGATAGAAAGTGGCTGAAGTTTCAAGTTCGTAGGAAAGACCCAGTTCAGAGACTGAGCTGACTTTCACGAGCAAAGAGCAATGGGCAGGGAGCCAGATGCGTGTGACTGTGCATGGCCGGGGTCGAAGTATGCAGCTCCACACTCCAGGGAATCGGCCCTGCCTCATCATCAGCTCTGAATCCAAAGGGACTAGAGGAGGAGAAGCTGTCCGAGTGACCGTGGAGGACAGCGGGAGCCCTTTCGTGGGGGTCCCGGGCTCAAGACATGCTCAAGACAACTCCTGCCTGGGCTTGAATTCTGACCCCTCCGCCTACGAGCTGGATACCCTTGAACAAGTTCCTTAACCCCTCTGGGCCTCTTCCGTACACTGGAGATGCTAATAATCACACGTGCCCGTCGGGGCGCAGTGAGGGTACATGCTTTGATCCATGCCTGGTGCACAGCTGTCGCTCAGGAAGTGTCATTACGGCGGGTGCTCAATAAACCTGTGTCATCTGCTGACCACGCAGTGGCCCGGGCCAGATCTGAACCCAGAACTCCTTTGTTCAAGTCCAGTCCTCTGAAAACCCAAGTAGACAAAATCTTAAGGGCCCCTACATTCCAAAAGGCCTTCTGAGGCAGAAGGGAGGGAAGGGAGGGATACCTGTTGAGGAACAGCCCCGTGAGAGGCCTGCGCCCCCCGCTGGAGCCACTTGGGGCTGAGGAGCAGCCCAGGAAGGGGGGCAGTCAACCCGGGAGTTCCGAGGACGTGCGCAGAGCTGGGCTTGCTGGAGACTGGTCTTTGCCGAGTGCGCTGAGCAGAGCGCTGGGCCCTGTCCTCCCGCGCCCTGGGTGGTCGACGTGCGCTGGGCAAGCTGGCCGGGGCCACACACTGTTGATGCGTCCACCTTTCTGTGCTGAGCGGACCTGTTCACATCAGGGCACACAAGTGCTTGCTGGAAGCTTGGGGGCTTGCCTACTGACAAGCTTCTGGCTTGGTGTCTCCGGGGGGAACCACACACACACACACACACACACACACACGTCCACTCTACATGTGGGTGTGGGATGCACAACTTCATAGTATCTGGAGCGGTTCATAGAACATTGTTGAATATATTTATTGGTGGAAGGGAGGAAACAGCCAGAGCTGAAAAGGCGGAAAGGAGGGTGGTTAAGATGGAAAACCCACCACCCACCACCACCTTCACTGTCCCAAGAAGGTGGGACATCTGGGACATCCACGGTATCCTCTGGTTTCTTCTGGCTTTTCCCGTTTGTCTTCAAGTTGGGGGAACCCGAGAGACTGTGGCCACCGGGATGGGTGCTCACCTGGTCAGGTGGTGCCGGGAGCGCCCCGCCAGCGAGGCAGCTCACGAGGCCTCCTCCCTGAAGAGGGTGAGGTTGTGCTTGCGGACGTGCTCCAGCAGCACCTGGCCTCGCCGCTCCAGGGTCCGGAGCACCCGCTTCAGTCCCTGTCTCCCGCCCTGACTCTCCCAGAACACGGGGTCCATCCACAGGGACTTGAGCAGCATGTTCTGCAGACACCCTGAGGCAAGAACCTGCAGGGCAGACTCAGGAAACCTGGAGGCAGGTCCCCCGGGCCCCAGGACAGAAGGGAAAAGCAAAAGTGATCTCAGAAAATGCCCGGGACGGGTGAAGCCAGATGGCCAGCAATTGCACGGCTGGCAGACCTGGCACAGTCGTCCTGCTGAGTGCCCAGGGCCCGCCTGCTGGCTCGTTATCAGAGAACCCTCCCACCTACTCTCCTGCAAAAGCAGATGGGACGGGGCTTCTGGAGGGGTCCCCCATCCCACAGAGAAGCTGCCGGAATGAGCTCTGCTATCCCAGGTGAAATGCCAGGAAGAGCCCTAAGAAGGCCGAGCCGCCTGCCATGAGTGAGCAGGGCAGGCAGGCTCCCCAGGCTGGCTCCTCCTCTGGGGCAAGGGAAGGGCTAGCCTTCCCAGACCCTAGCAGGCTGCCAGTGCTCTGCAGGGCCAGGAGGCCCTCTGGATATTGGGGGTGCCTGCTGGCTGCGTCCCCCAGCTCCCCACCTCCTCCCAGGGCTCAGATCCAGCAGCTTTTGTCTCAGGCTGTGGACTGCTCGGGAGCATGAGTCAAGGTCGCACAGTTTACAGCAGGGCAATCGGGCCTCAGTCTCCAAACCTCCATCCAATCCCGCTGACCCTCACCCAGCGATGCCCTCCAGCAGCCGAAAGTTCAGCTTGTCCTCAGGATGCTGAAGGTTGCCGGCATTATCGATGTAGACCAGATGGGATGGATCACTGCTCCGGACCTCAAGGAAGAAGATGGACAGGGACAGAGGTGGGGAAGGTTGAGCCTAGCTGGCACCCATGGATTCTGTCAGGGTTAAGGGGCTTGGGGGGCCCTGAGCTGACAGTCCCATGATGTGGTGTGGCTGGGAATGAGAGTCCATGTCTTCTGCTCCCTACTCCCACCCCCGTGCACCCCATTCCTATATATTCTCCAGGATTCCATGGTATTTTCCCATAATTCTCTCCATCACCCTGGCTTAACTTAGGAACTTTTGCCTCCAGGACCCTAGCTTTCCCTCTCTCTCTCTCTCCCCACCACCCATATCAGGGATCATCTATTTCTTGATGTCTACTGACTCCTCCCTCCAAAAACTGCTGTCCTAAGGGATCTGTGAAATAGCTGCCCCCAGGGGTGAATGATAGATATAAAAGCCTTACCTCTCCCCGGGGTGACTGCCTTTTACCAGGGAAGAGGGGAGTAGGCTCTGAGGACGGGAGATGGAGATTTCCTACCACCCAGAGGCTTCATGAGGCAGCCCTGGCCTCCGGGCTGGTGTGGCCTGCCTGACGCTCAGCCCGGGGCACCATGCTACCCTCCACAAGCAACCGGCCAGGGGAAGGTGTCCAGGACATTAGGGTCACTGGGGGAGAAGATACAGTAGCCCTTCCCGAGGGTGGCCCCTTGTCCCGGTCTCTGATGGCCTCAGCTCATCACTTCCCAGCCTGGGCTCTACTTTGCACAGCCCAGTGTCCCTCGGATCAGCACCAGCCCGTGGGCTATCCTACAGGAGGGAGCCCTGTCACTGCCACCGCCCGGCCCGTTCCAGGCCACAGTCCCCACTTTGGCTGGCAGGGTGGGGGCGGCTCCCTAGACACACAGATGTCACACCCGCTTCCGGGTGCCCTCGGGGTTCCCTGTAAACCCCTCAAGGGGACAGTGGAGTGGTCCCACCTCAACCACACTGGCAAAGCCCCGCCGGGGTCAGTTTTATGTATGGTGGCTTCCTGGAAACATTATCCAGCCAAAGGCTCCCGCTGCTAAAAAGAGCAGGGCTGGGAACCGCCCGTGTCCCGTGATCTCTGCAACTCCGGCAGGAAGGCCGCAGTCTGGGTGACAGGTGACAGGTGACAGCAGACATACCAGGATGTGGACCAGCCGCAGCTCGCCGGGGTTGCGGCATTTCTCTCGGAGCCTCTCTTCCACGCAGGGGTCCGACGGCTCGGGCTCGAAGCCACAGCAGGAGCGGTCTAGGCGGTCATGTACCTGTGAGGACACCCAGGCTGTGAGGGGTGTGGCTCCAGGCCTGCCTCCCCCAGGCCCAGCACTCAGGCGGCCTGGCCCCGGTGGGGGAGCGGGGGGGCGGTGGTCGTGCTGGGGGCAGACCTCCGCGGCTGTGGGTGCTGGTCGGCCCGTTGTGAGGGAGCTTCTGCTCTGCTCCTCCAGCCAGCTCGCCCTGCACCCCCGGAGCTGCTGGCTCACGCCTCAGGCCAGCCTGGATTTCCACCGGTACCCACGGCTTCCCCTGTGGCCCTGCCCCGAACTCTGGCCTGAGGCCACTGGGCCTCCCGGTGCTGAGCATCTGTCTACCGGCGGAAATCCACACTGGACTCCACTTTTTCTTTAAGCAGCCAATGCTACAGCAAGGATTCCTCCCCTCTTGGGAGCCAAACGTGATTTAAGGACCCTCTAGATAGCTCTTCCAACCCTGCGGCGAGGCCAGGATCGAAGTCAGGGCGGGAGGAAGGCGCTCCCCTCCCGGACTCGGTTTCCACCGGAGGGGAATTCTCAAGTGTGGTGTGGGGTCAATTCCGAGGAGCTCTGCCTCCCACCCCCTACATACACACATGTAGCTCACATACATGACATTTTAGAGGGTCATAGGGTTCTCATAATAATATATCCCACTCACCTGCTTCCAGTAGCTTTCTTCCGAAGGAAGGAGTTGCCGCCTGCAAGTCAGGAATTAAATAGAAACATGGATCTGCCCCAGCCCTGACCTACATGAGGGCAGCAAATGCAAAGAGATCCAGAACGGAGAGGCCTAAACACAGAAGTGGCAGAGTCCTCTGGGGTGGGAGAGGGAGGGTCTTGCTGTAGGGAGAAAGGCAGGAAAGGGATAGGTGAAGGGGGAGGTGGTGTGGAAAAGGTTGGGATGTGCCAGGAAGTGGAGGAGAGACAGGGTGAGGTTGGGGGCAGTGGGGAGTGCCCGTCACAGGGTGGGCGAGCTGGAGGAGATGTACCCTTTCTCCTCGTAGGAAGGAAATTTGGTTTGATACAATACCTGGAGGAGTGCTAACGACAGAAGGTGAGATCTCCAGAGGTCTGGGTGTGAGAGGACTTGCTTTGCTTGGGACAAGAGGAAAAGTCCGTTTGTTGCTGTGGGAGGGGGAGGAGAGAGAGGAGAGGAAGAGAGAAGTGAAGCAGGGAGCAGCGGGAGGCTGAGGGTGTGAGATGTGCCCTCCGTGACCCCTCCATCCTCCGGCAGAAGTGGCCACCCTTGTGAAATGTTTGCTGGCCTTGGGAGAAGGGGCTGAGCTTTGAGTTCAGGTTTGGTGTGGGGCAAATCAAGGCATGTGAAGCAGCCGTCAGCTGCCTGGGATTTGCCCAAATCCTAGGAAGGTTTCCAGATCCTCCTGGGTTGTGGGACCTGGGGTTTGAGTCATCTTAAATCCCCAGGTGGTGTCAGGGTCACAGGAGAGGGAGGACTCAGGGGACCCCCCGCCCCCCAAGGAGGATGATGAATCACACAGGTGCTAACTCTCAGGATGCAAAGGTAATTCACTTAGTGAAAAAGCCCGGTGTGTGGAAGACCCAGAATGGAGACCCAGACCCCACCTTTGCAGAATGGCTAGTCTAATTTAGGAAGCCTGGGAACACCACTGGAGAGGCAGGTGCCAGCCTGGGAATCTAGAAATGAGCTCCAGGTAACATACTGTGGTTGGGGCAACTGTCCAGGGAACAGAGGGGAAGAGAGTCAGGGTGGAGATGAGTGAGAGTCAGGGAAAGGGAAGCAGGAAGCCAGATGGCACCAAGCTGGTGAGGAACCCCACAGAAAGAAAGGGTCTGCTTCCTCTCTCAGTCCTTGGGAACCTTCTGTGATTCTGCTCTACCACGTGGTTCAGCTCTGGCGGGATCTGGGGCCCCTCCCTCCCCCGTGGTGGTGGTGAGGATGCAGAACAGCCACAGGCTTACAGCAGCGATCATTTTAATCTGATTTTAAAGCAATGACTGTCTGTCTCTCAGAGATACATGATGTGGTATGATGAGAAATATATTTGGTCTCTGTACCCTGATCCTGGCACAGAGCTCCCCAAACCTTTGGACTTTCCTGAGTGATTCCTAATGAGCCCCTTGGACCACATCCGTGTTTATGCTAATGAGATGATGCAGGGGAGCCTAGATAACTTCAGAATGGGGACTGGGCACCAGAAAGACAAGGGAAGAAAGGATAGGAACTTTTAGCCCCGCCTTCCAACCTCCAGGAAGGGTAGGTGAGCTGGAGATTGGGTTATAAAAACTCGAACAGGGGCGCCTGGGTGGCTCAGTTGGTTAAGCGACTGCCTTCGGCTCAGGTCATGATCCTGGAGTCCCGGGATCGAGTCCCGCATCAGGCTCCCTGCTCGGCGAGGAGCCTGCTTCTCCCTCTAACCCTCCCCCCTCTCATGTACTCTCTCTCTCTCATTCTCGCTCTCTCAAATAAATAAATAAATCTTTAAAAAAAAAACTCGAACAATGAGATCTGGAGCCCTTCTGGGTTGGTGAACACATCCATGGTCAGGAGGGTAGCGTATCCAAGCTCCACAGGGACGTAAGCTCCTGTGCTTGGGGTCCTTCTGGACCTCACCCAATATACCTCTTCATCAGGACATTCATTTGTATCCTTTATAATAAACCTGTAAATGTAAGTAAAGTGTTTTCCTGAGCTCTGTTGAGCCATTCTAGCAAATTATCCAACCTGAGGAGGGGGTCGTGAGAACCCTCAATTTATAGCCAGTTGGTCAGAAGTGTGGGTAGCCCAGGACTTTTGACTGGTATCTGAAGTGGGACAGTGTTGTAGGACTGAGCCCCTTAACTTGTGTGGGATCTGACATTGACTCCAGGTAGACAGTGTCAGAACTGAATTGAATTGTGGGAAACCCAGTTGGTGGTGGAGAATTGGTGTCAAAACAAAACATCGCTCAGATGACCACCACCATGACCACTGCCATCCTCCCTAGCTCATTCACTCCTCACTGCAACTATGCAAGGGAGACGCTATGATCCCATTTTACACATGGGGACACTGACCCCAGACATACCCAAGGTCGTACATGTAAAAGTAATATAGCTGGGATTCGAGCCAAGGTCTGTCTGGCTCGAAGGCCAGCTCTCTGTGTTATCCTGCCCTGCCTCCCCGAAGACCAGGAAAGGGGAGCCAGTTACAGAGGTCAAATGAGGTCTCCATCATTACTCTTCATGAGATTAATTAATTTGGTTTCACCCTTGCTAATTAAGGCTAGAGAAGAGCTTTCAAAACTATGAAGGAGGAAGGGGAAGAATGAGAAGACACAGGGCCCGTCATCCTCCATGACAACAATGCAGCCGCGGCCGTGGTGGTGTTTGGATGGTCCATGTCTCTCTTCTGTGGTCGCTGTGGTGACCAGCCAGAGCCAGCACCACCATCCTGCCTCCCTCTGCCCACCGGCACAGCCACCCCTCTCCACAAATGGGGCGAGGGGGACGATCTGTCACCTCCAGGATGCAGTACTCATTAAAGCCACCCCCCAGTCCACTCAACCCAGCTCAGCGCCGGCCAAAGGTCTTGCTCCATTTCCATATCCCTTTGTAGGAAAACTCACATATGTTCTGAGGATATACAGAATTGATCTCCTCCAACACAAACAAGAAAATAACTATGATTCAATCAATGTCACAAAACTAGACGTCCAGGAATGAGAGTGTTAAACAGTCCCCCCAACTACTGTCTCAAAACACGTTCTGTTTTGCAATAGTTCAACACGGAGAAGCACATCGGGCCTAGACCAATCACCCCAAACAGGCTGAGGGCAATTCTGTGAGGCCACATTAGGTAGTATTTCCGGGGGCGGTGGGCCAAAGACACCCACAGGCGCTACTGAGACCAATGCACAAAGCCCAGAGGACCAGTCCAACTTGGCCAGGGTGGCCAAAAACCATCACCCTGTGCATGAAGTGAGCCCATTTACAAGACCCCTGACGTGGACCATCACTGCTTTGGCTGCCTGGGCTTTGGATAACAACAGTCACAAGTAACAGAAAAACCTGATTCAAAACGGTTTCAACCATAAGGAAAATTAAGATCATCTGTGGCAGCAAGTCCCAAGATAGGGCAGGCTGGAGGTTTAGCAGCTCCCTATTGTCATGATAAGGACTCGGGTTTCTTTCTGCTCTCCACTCACCACCCACGATGTTAACATCCCAGTGTTGTCTCTAGAAGCCGGCAGGTGGCCGCTGTGGGTATGTTCAGGTCCAGAGAGAAGGAGAGGACGAACGAGAGAAATAGAGACAGAGAGACAGACAGAGGGGAAAGGAACCTCTCCTCCAAGCACCTTCCCTTTAGCCTGACTGGACCAAATCAGGTCATACACATCCCTGGACCGGGAGTGCCAAGTGGAGGATGGTGATGCACTGATCCCTGGACCCAGGAATGGGCAGAAGGTGAATCAAATCAGGGCTCTGTGTGAAAGTCTACTTTAGCTGCAATGTCCTCACTCAGGCCACTAATAAAAGCGTTGACCAGGACAGGGCTGAGGATAGAGCCCTGCAGCTTGCCTCCAGAGACCTCCCAGGCTTCCAACTGGTCTTAAACCCACTTGAGGCCTGTACCATGCCCCCCTCCACTATGTCCTAACTCTATGACCTGAGGAAGTTATTTAACCTCTATACCCCTCAGTTTTCTCATCAACAAAATGGGGCAGCGATACTCCCCTCCCATGGGACTGCCCTGAGGCCCACATGGGGTAATGATACCTGTGAAGCAGGGGGTGGTTTTTACGGAAGAGCCTTCTGTGGTGTCTGCCCTGGAAGCGACAGGCCCAAAGACCTCCAGGAATCTCAGGGATTCCCCCACCCCCCCACACACCAGGAAGCCCCAGCCTCACCCAGTGCTACAGGCCAGAGAACCAGAGTCTGAAATATGGGAAGTGTTACAACAGGGTAGCCATGCTCTTCTTGTGGGTACATCCAGTTTCCGGACAGACATCACCTGCTGGGTTCTCTTTGGCCAGGAGAGTAAATGCCAGGGC